AAACTTCATATTGACTTGGGAAATCTCTTCCCTTGTGAAACTTCATCCCTTGCTATTTTGGGAAATGAAATCTCTATCCCTTGCTAGATTTGTCAATTGAATTCTCATCCCTTAGTCAATTTGGAAATCTCATTCCCTTTGACTTTGCAAATTGCATCCCTTGAGAAACTGCATCCCTTCACTTGTAAACTTCATCCCTTAGTCAATTTGGAAATCTCATTCCCTTTGACTTTGCAAATTGCATCCCTTGAAATCTCATCCCATACTCAAGTTGGAAATCTCATCCCATACTCAAGTTGGAAATCTCATCCCATTGACTTGCAAATTATATCCCTTCGGCCAAACCATCGCCTCTTACTTGATCAGATGGAATTTTAACTTGGCTTCTTAAAATATATGGGATGTGAGATTCGAACCTATGACCTTGCACATAATATTTCAAACTTCTACCATCTCGTCCGTACAACCTATTGGTTATCTTCTTGTTCCACTTGATGTACTCCTTTCTTTCCATAGATGCTTGATCTTCAAAATAGCTTCATGCAAACTTCTAGTCACGTTCTTTCTTCTTCGGGATTTCTTGAGGGATTTTCTCAAATTTCATACGCATACATCTTCCTCTTCTGTTTGCCATTTTCACTAGACAAATTCTTGATTTTTGGCTTGATATCTTCTTCATCCATTTCCTCAACTAATGAATTTATTTTTCCCTTTCTTGGTCTAAGACTCGACTAGTCTAATAAAATAAAATTGGGGATCTACGAATTACAATATGCTTTGCCCGTTTCCCTTTTTTTGTTGCTTTGTGCACTTTTAATTTGTAAAGTGTTTTAATTTTGTACATAGATGGATGAAGTAACACAACTCAATTCAAGCTGAAATTAAGACATGGTGGCAGTCCTAAAACACATGAAATTGGATATATAGGAGGGGTTGTTAACAATTTTTATTTAGACATTGATTTGTGGTGCATGATAACTCTTAGGGAAACAGTTGAGGAATTGGGATACAATATGTTAGACACCTTTAAATATTTCACCCCTACTAGCAGTGACACAATATTTGAATTAAGTAATGATAGTGATTGTTGGGTTATTTGCTATGTTGGAATGTTTCCAAAAGAGATTGAGGTTTGGGTAGTAGGTGGTGGAGAAGGTGAGGGTAAACCACAATCAGTAGAAAATGAGGGTGACTCTGAATCTAGGGAATATTTAGATGACTTTGAGAATAGTGCTGATAGTATGGGAAATGATGACCTAGATTTTGAGGAAAATGTTGATAAAAATGTAGAGTTTGATGGAGTAAGAGAAAGTCAACAACCTGATAAAAATGTGGAGCTGGATAGGTTTATCTGTCACCAAGAAAATGAGCATGGTTTAAATTTGTCTGATGAAGACAGTGGTAAAGATAGTGAGGAAGAATGAAAATTGAAATGTCCAGAATTTAAGGCTAGCACTCAAATGCAATCCCATAAATTCTGTGTTGGCTTAACATTTGCATCAAAGGTAGAATTAAGAGATGCAGTCCACAGATATATGCTTATAGCAATAGTAAGCAATTGAAGTTTATTAGAAATGACAATAATATGGTTTATGTTAGATGTAGACAAACTGACTACCCTTTCAGAATTAATCTTTGGAAAGTGAAAAATGCCATGTCTTGGAGAATTGCTAGTTATCATGAAGTGCATGATGGATGTGGGTGGGTCTATGAGAACATCATGGTTAAATCAACTAGGATTGCAAAGAGATGGATGAAAGAGATTGGACATAACAGCAAGTGGACCACTACAGAATTTAGAGAGAGGGTGAAAGTAGATGATGGATTTGACTTGTCCAAGAAGAAAGCCTATAGAGCTTTGAGAAAAGCAAGGGAAGTCATTGAAGGAGAAGCTGTAACACCCCGTGTTACGCCATTTAATCCCGGATTAATTATTTAATTAATTCCGTTAAAGAATAGTTAAACAGGATTTAATCTGGTCAAGATCCCTTAATTAATTAATGTGTTCCACGGAGGACCGTGGACCCTTGATTATAATAAGGACTTTAAGTCTGTTAGGAATAAAGAAAGAGGGCCTTTACTAGTCAGATTCTAATTAGGAATCCTAGACCTATATACATGTTAGGAATAGAAAGTAGGTCTTTACTATTCAGACTCTAATTAGGATTCCTAACTCTATAAATAGGGGATTAGAAAGCAATTAGAACCATTCCAACCCATATCACACGACATTACCCAAGAAACCTAGCCAAGGCAATTCCCCACCACCAAGCCTAGGGAGATCAACTAGGAGGAAATCTTGGGAAAGAACATTAATAGCCAAGGAATGATTAATTAAGGCTAAGAGGTAACCCATGTCTTACAAAACCTATATTCCTTGTTATATCTTGATTATTGGCTCCTTTGATAATTATATGTGTGATTCTGAAATTTAGTCTTGATAGAGCTTTGTCTAGGGTTCATATTGTGTTTATTTGGTAATATTGGTGATCTTGATGTTGTGATTGATTATATGTGTGATCTTGTATTTAATTATGTCTAGAGCTTGTCCCTAGGGTTTATATCATGAATCTCGTGTTGTGATGTTCTTGGCATTCTTGGGTGGGGTTTATGCATGCTCGGGTATTGATTCTAGTCTAGGACTTGTCTTTAGGGTTGTGCACATAGATTTCTTGATGATTATTGATGTTCTGGATGCTCCTGAACCGTTATGTGATTGATGTCGGGTCTTGACATGTTTAGGAATTGTGTTAGAACGTAATTGGAACGATTCTTGGTTTAATCTTCGTTAATTGAATCCGTGATGTTGTTGTTACGTGTCAGAATGTGTTTGGACATGGTTTTGGGTTCCACGAACGAACCCCGAACCAGAAATTCTACCTTCGTACTAGTGGGGGTTAGGTGGGGGGACGAGTCCCCACCACCTACCCGCTGCCCGGGATGCCCAGTTCCAGCGGGCAGCCGGCGGGCAGTGGTGTGCTGGGAAATTTGTGGTGTGCCGGGATGTTTTCCCCCGTTTGATGTTTCCTCGTGATCCGTTGCACCCCGTTGTACCCCGTTTGATGTTTATGAGTCTCGTATGATGTTTTGGGTACCGTTCTAGGAATTTGTGTGTAGTGTGTGTCGTTCGTTAATGTGCCTTGATTATTATTGTTGATTACATGTTGATTGATGGAATGATGATGAGTATTGTGATCATTGCACAATGATTGATGTGACTGATGAGAATGAGATTGTGATTGGTGGAAATGAATTGTTGGCAGAAAACACAACGAGTGCTTGGTTATCGTGTTAAAGGCATGGACCACCCCTTAGATTTGCTGGCTAAAGGCTTGGGTCAGGGTATAAGTGTCGCGGTGTCATGTTAGAGCTATATGCGCTGACCCGTTGGTTGTGGTGCTAGCGGCACGGACCATGCGAATGACACTTCGGTGCTACCATGTTGGTGGTTACGGAGTGGGGCATGTAGTTGCTCCGGAGGAATAAGGGAGGCGATAGAAGGGTGGCCTGGAGGTACAGGTTGGAACTGATATAAAGATGGAGTGGCGTAAAGGTTGGAACTTGGTATAAGGTTGGAAGATCGATTTTGTGCTTTGATGATTACTTGCTAATTCATTGTCATTGGATTCCATTGTTGCCTTTAATTGCTATATATGAGCTTACTTGTCTATTATGCCTTGCAAACGTAGGACGCATGCTAGTATCTTTATGAGGATTCGTGATGCTAAACCTATTGTTGTGTCTTGAGTCTTGATCTGGTTTTAAAGCTAGAGTTGCTTAGGATTATATATGTATTCCAGTCTCAAAATGGTTTTCTTATATATACCTATATTGTACTTAATGCGTGGGAGTGAGTTACCAGCATTATTCGCTGACGGTTGTTACACCATATGTTTTTCAGGTGCAGATCAGTAGCTCCAGAGTGCGCTAGATGGATACAAGGACCTAACTTAGATAGTTTAGTATTAGTTAGACGGCCTGTGAGCCTTGGTTTGTATCATGAATACTAACTATAGTTTATGCGTGTTCAGTTAGTTTAGCCTGTGCGTGTAGGTTCTCAAACCTAGACGTGGCATAGCACCCCGATACTCATGTGGTTAGTTCCGCTTTGTTTGGATGGATAACGATAGATTTGCCTTTATTTCATAGGCTTTAAAAGTTTTATAAAATTAGGGGTGTTACAGTTGGTATCAGAGCCTAAGTTCGACCTTAGGACAATGCCTTTAAGATAAGACTTTAGGATATTAAGCTTGAATTCTAGGCATCTAAGTACTTAGGTTGTAAGAATCTTAGGATGTGCAGTGAGATTGTGAGTTTATTTATCGCTTTTGATAAGTTTCCTATACTTGCTCTAAAGTTGTGTTATTCTTGCATAGTTTTACATGCTTTGTCGCATATCATTCTTTGATTATTACTAACTGTCCACATAAGGGCAGCTCGCATCTGAAAATTCTGCTTCTTTGAAATATCATATGTTTGAACACCGACTTCCCATAATTGGTTTAACTCCGCAATAAGTGATTGTAAAAAAACATCTATATTTTCTTTTGGATTTTTTGGACCTGGAACCAATACGGTCAAGAACATAACTCCTCCTTCATACACATCCAAGGAGGCAAGTTGTACATTGTTAGTATCACAGGCCATGAGGAGTATTGTTGTCCTGACTGTCCAAATGGTTGAAAACAATCGGTGCACAGACCTAACATGACATTTCGAATTTCAGAGGCAAAGTCAGGATAAATTAGGTTAAAATTCTTCCAAGCAAGCGAGTCTGAGGGATGACGTATGATTCCATCTTCAACTGAATTTGCATGCCACTTCATATCATTTGCTGTAGCATTAGATACATACAACCTCTGCAGTCGAGGAACCAGAGGAAAGTAATACATTTTTTTGTATGGTACATTAGTTTTCTATCATTTTGTAGCAAAACGAGAAGTTTGTTTAAGTCGAGGGTGGGCACAAAACTTACACGTTGTCATATCTATATCTGACTCCTAATATATCATGCGATTGTTCTTGCAACAATCAATCTTCTGAATCGGCAATCCCATACCCTGTAAATTACACGGTAATAGCCTTTTGGTTTTGTAGAAGTTGTCAGGAACTAGATTATCCTCAGGAACAACTTCTTTCAAAAGTTCAGTGAATTCATTGAAACATTTTTCTGATATGTGATTCTCTGATTTCAAGCTCATAAGTCGAGCTACCAGAGACAACTGCGATTTTTTTTTACTCCCAGGCCACAACTCTTGATCTGCAGCTTTCAACATATCATAAAACTTTTGGGCCTCGGGATTTGGCGATTCTTCTATTTCATCCACATTAAATCCAGGCCCAGCAGCATCCATAACCATTGTGTGGTAAGCATTAGATGCTTCTTCACTAGCCATTTGAGATGGGTCACCAACGTCTCGATCAACATCTACACTCACATTGCACTCGCCATGGAAGCACCAAACATAGTAGTCCGACACAAATCCATATTTTGCTAAGTGGAATTTCACGGTAGGCACATCTAAAAACTTGGTGTTTTGACACTTGCGTTGATTACATGGATACTTAATTCTTTCCCCGTGCATCCAACTATGTTGACTAGTAGCAAATTGGATGAAAGTTTCAAGACCAGCCAAAAACTCTTCAGTGAGAAGACCATTTCTAATTCGTGTATACATCCAATGACGATCTAAACTCATTGTATGTATCACCTATATTTTTCAATGCTACATTTCAATTTAAAAAAAAAAAACTACACTTGCAACCTTGCATATTTTAGCCGGAGAAAAAACAAGTGCCGGTACCCATAGACCGTTTAGCCGGCAAATAAAGAGATTCAAATAAACAATCATGCATATTTTCATAAACCTCCGGTACCCACAGGCAGTTTAGCCGGAGAAAACACAAGTGTTGGTACCCACAAACGATTTAGCCGGCAAATAAAGAGATTCAAATAAACAAGCATGCATATTTTCATAAACCTCAAAAGTATTGGCTGGGAATTGCGTTATTACACTCAAAATTCTTCAAGCTCTTCTTCGATTGATAAGGTTTGAACAATTACAAATTTTTTATTTGTTGTTTATTTGCCGACTAAACCGCCTGTGGGTACCAGAGGTTTATGAAAATATGCATATTATTGCTCTGATACCGTAAATTATTGCTCTGATATCACATGTCACCCACAACAAACTACTGTGAGATTTTTATTTTATTTTTTTCATTTTTTACAATTTTTTTTGCGTGATTTTTGAATTTACATACATGCTAATGTCGCAGAGATATGAACATTCGAATAATTGTCTCATTAGGATCTATGCTCTTCTGTTGTGTATTTTGTTGAATTTGGAAGATGAAATGGCCTGGCGGGTGGAGAATAACACCACCCGCCAGTTAGGCGGAAGCAATATGAAGAATCAAGGAATAGGAAATGTGTATAAGAATGAAAATATATTAATATTCTCTCTGTTTCTAATACAGAAACACAGTACATATATATACACAAATACATAACTGTAAGTAACTACCCATAACTACCCATAACTGACACCTATTCATAAACAGACACAACCCTATAGATAAACCTAACTCTTTAGTTTTCAACACTCCCCCTCAAGCTGGAACATCTAGAAGTTCCAAGCTTGGATTAAAACATACACACTACATTACAAATGAAGATTAAAAGCAGCTAGAGAATAACAGTGCTAGATGGCTTCGGAGGGACAATGATATACACAATCCTTGGGAAAGAAGGCACCAGGGGCGATTAACACGAACACCCTCACAGCAACATAAGCACTCCCTTGAGAAGCCGATGTCCGCGGTAGCTTACTCTAGATGGCTCACACTCCAGACTCTTCTCGGCACTAGGTAGCCCTTTTCCCCTTTGGATGGCTTCACTCCAGACCTTATCAAGTACCAGGTAGCCCTTTTCTAGGTCGCCCCCTCCGCTAGACCGGCACCGGATGGGTGGACGGCTTCACTCTGGATAGCTTTCACTCCGGACTCTTCTCGGTTTCCTTTGAACCTTATCAAGCAGCGGGCAGCCCTCTTCCAGGTAGCCCTTTCCCACCACACTCCAGCCTCTCAACAAGAGCACCAAAGTAATGACAAATACACCCAAAGAGTGTGAAGTATGAATACCGAGAGCACCACATATGATTGTTGTTTATACCCCTTATTATAGGATAAGTGAATAACAAAAGAGACTTCCGGAAATAAACAAAAGGTACCAAACTTGAAAACCCTAGGGAATAAATATGTATACCGAAAGAAATAACTACGGTTATACCAAAAGCACCCCGGAAAGAAGTTTGGCAACAAACCCATAAGCCTTCAAACTTCACCAAAAGGTCCAAAGGGGAAAACAACAATCTGAAACACTTTAACTGGAAAAACACACCATAGCAAGCCCAACGCAGATGGAATCTCGGGTAACTGACGGAGATTTATGGAGATTTTTCGCCGGAAAATTCTGCCGGAGGTGGGCTCACGCGCCGGCGCGTGAGAGAAGGTCGCCGGCGCGTGACGCCGGCGGTGGCGCGTGATGACGACGGCGATGACGGATGGCGATGAAATTTTCCAGATAGGGTCGAAATAAGGAGAGGAATTCATCAGTGTGGGAGGTGAGACCAAAAAACCACCAGAGATGAAGAGATCTGAGGAAAACAATTTGTGCTCCGGCAAACTGTGACGGCGCGTGTGGGCGCGTGCAGCGGCGGATGACACCGGCGTTTCTTGGGTAAGGTCGCGACGTGATTCCGAGAGTGACTGTGGTTGTAGATTTTGAAGCAAACCACCATAGATACGTCGGAATTCAAGAGGCAGTCTCAGGCTACTGTTTACGCCGGAAAATGTAAGGAAAAAGCCCTAGGAAAGTGGCTCTGATACCATGTTGAATTTGGAAGATGAAATGGCCTGGCGGGTGGAGAATAACACCACCCGCCAGTTAGGCGGAAGCAATATGAAGAATCAAGGAATAGGAAATGTGTATAAGAATGAAAATATATTAATATTCTCTCTGTTTCTAATACAGAAACACAGTACATATATATACACAAATACATAACTGTAAGTAACTACCCATAACTACCCATAACTGACACCTATTCATAAACAGACACAACCCTATAGATAAACCTAACTCTTTAGTTTTCAACATATTTATTGGAAAATTCTGTTGTAGTGCTTGTCTATATTATTGTTAGCTACTGTGTTTTATATGTTGTCTTTGTAAGCTCAAAATGGATGTCTAAGCGCCCAATACTATCATTGTATAATTGCAGTTTCAAGTTGAGAATCAAAAGTATTGGCTGGGAATTGCGTTATTACACTCAAAATTCTTCAAGCTCTTCTTCGATTGATAAGGTTTGAACAATTACAAATTTTTTATTTGTTCTTTATTTGCCGGCTAAACCGCCTGTAGGTACCAGAGGTTTATGAAACTATGCATGATTGTTTATTTGAATCTCTTTATTTGCCGGCTAAACCGTTTGTGGGTACCAACACTTGTGTTTTATCCGGCTAAACCGCCTGTGGGTACCGGAGGTTTATGAAAATATGCATGATTGTTTATTTGAATCTCTTTATTTGCCGGCTAAACAGTCTATGGGTACCGGCACTTGTGTTTTCTCCGGCTAAAATATGCAAGGTTGCAAGTGTAGTTTTTTTTTAATTGAAATGTAGCATTGAAAAATATAGGTGATACATACAATGAGTTTAAATCGTCATTGGATGTATACACGAATTAGAAATGTTCTTCTCACTGAAGAGTTTTTGGCTGGTCTTGAAACTTTCATCCAATTTGCTACTAGTCAACATAGTTGGATGCACGGAGAAAGAATTAAGTGTCCATGTAATCAACACAAGTGTCAAAACACCAAGTTTTAGACCTGCCTACCGTGAAATTCCACTTAGCAAAATATGGATTTGTGTTGGACTACTATGTTTGGCGCTTCCATGGCGAGTGCAATGTGAGTGTAGATGTTGATTGAGACGTTGGTGGCCCATCTCAAATGGCTAGTGAAGAAGCATCTAATGCTTACCGCACAATGGTTATGGATGCTGCTGGGCCTGAATTTAATGTGGATGAAATAGAAGAATCGCCAAATCCCGAGGCCCAAAAGTTATATCCATGTTTGCCATAATATGTGGTATACTATCCTTGCATATGTCCTTAGGGACATGGCATCAGTGCCTCAGAACCACTACCCCCATATCTTGTGGTCATAGAATGATTATAGGGTCACTTATATGGAAGAGGATTATTATGGTTGAGAGATAGCCATGGATCCATTTCTGGATGGATAAGCAAGAACTCCATGGGAAGACTTCACGAAAGACTTAGAGAAAGTGGTTTTTGAATAAGAACTGAATAGGGATGTGATCCCAATAATAGCCGGTGCTAGAATTAACCTTGAAGTTGAGTTCTTTGTTTTAAGAAAATTTCTTATCAGTTCATGGCAATTTTATCATATCATGAAATTTTTAATACATGCGTACAATGATACTAATCCACCTAGCTAAGCATAAGGTCATGTCAAAAACAACTGATAGCAATGTCTCCAACTGGTAAAGACTACAGAAGTATAGTATTTCTTCACATATAGATTCATAGTAGTTTGTTGTGGGTGACATGTGATATCAGAACAATAATTCAAGGTATCAGAGAATATAAATATATATAGTAAGTTATTTTATGAAACAAAAATCTAACATTTGAAACATATTAAGTATTTCCATCTCAAACACTTTGTGGTGTGCATGTATCGTGCGTGCGTCGTCCATGCATGCGTTATTTGAATGTTCAGATCTGCGACATTAGCATGTATGTAAATTCAAAAATCACGCAAAATGGTGTAATAAAAAACTGGTGACTAAGAATGGCTTATTTTCATGTGACAAATGTAGCAGAATTTGGGCAGAAGGTATCTGGAGGTATATCTTGAAAGTTAGAGTGGTAGATGTTAATGGGAATACCCATTTTTGCTGTCGGATAGAGAATGTTCTAATCTGATAAGAGTGTCAGTTGCATACTTAAAAGATTTATATCCTATGGTAAGCGATGTCTAAATTGGTTTCATATAAATTTAACTTTTATTCATTAAATTTAAATTATAATTGTGGCACTATTTTTTAAAAAAACGAAAACAGACTTTATTGTCGGCAAACAACCCGATGAGAGGCAAAGCCCCTTTGATCATACAAAACTGCTAACCTGGCCTTTTCGGGCAAAGAGCTAGCGTCATAAAAAATTCTGGAATATGGAAAACTCAAACCAGCTGTCGCTAACGCATTTGCCACCTGGTTGGCTTCCCGATAGACATGTCCTATCGTGGAGCCCCAAGTAGCAAGGCTAGATCGAATAGAAAGAATCTCGTCTTTTATCCTCCATGGAATCCATGTTTGCTCCCCCAACACTAAAGTGGCGAGGGCCAGCGAGTCCACTTCAACCATGAACGGGTATTTTCCAAACGCCTCACACCATTGCAAAGTTAAACGCAGCGAGACAGTCTCAGCTTCCAAAGCCGAGGCAGCATCAAGGCGGAAGCATAAGCCAATTTGAAGAATGCCCCGAGAGTCCCGTAAGCACGCCCCACCGGCAGAAGCATCCGTTGTGAAAGCCGGATCAGTGTTAAGCTTCAATCTGCCGGCAGGCGGGGTCAACCATTTAACCCATATCGAAAGCAGTCTCGGCGGA